TATTTTCAGGAACCTTGTAGAATGTCTAAACACCCTCACTTCATCGGTTTGATTGATAATTTCATCTGGATATACTTTCCGCAATCCAAAGCAAGTTAGTACTAAAGCAGGAGGCGTCATAGCCTTGTCCACAGAAAAATGTCCTAGACTCATTTTACTTCGCGGATTAGATGCCAATTCCTTCAGGGATCCATTGCTTCATTTCGTGCTAGCTACTAGCAAGAGGCAAGACTAGCGCTTACTAACGTAGAAGCCTGAACAAGTGTAGCAGTATTCCTGTAGAATGCGTTTATGACATCATTGAAAACGAAATGCTAGTTTCTATGAATAGGCAGACCCTCAATGTAGATGCCAATATACTGTAGTCCAAGCAATGGGGACTCGCGAAAAGGTACCTCTAATTTTGGTAAAGCCCAAAATGGGCACCAGCAATAGATCATTGGGATTGCATCCATCAAGCCTGCATGAACTTGCGAAAGCGTGTGTGTTCCGCGATCACGCCCTGGTTGCTCCTGCAGACCAGGATCTAGTCTCTAAGACATGCGAGTACCCTCAAGCACCCCAAGTTAAGACCCTATAACTATGATGTGCCCAGAATGTTGTTGATATCCCCCAGACAATCCCATATATAACCCCTTTGAGGAGTTTTGACCCTAAACTCTACACCCTAAACCCAAATCGGTAACCCCTCATCCCTAAACTCTAAACCAAAAATACTCCCCTGTAAAACCCCCTTTTTCAGGAGTTCAGACAGTAGTATATGCAGGCCATTGCTCCAGCGGCAATGATCTTGCGACCCTCCTGCCTTTCTCTCCTGGACTAAAAGTTTATTCGGGGTTGCCAAAAATATGTTTTCCTCTTTGAATACCCTATAGGGTTTAGGGTTGAGGGTTTGGGATTCAGGGTTTAGGGTTTACTTGGAGGGTCAGGGGGACTTAGTAAGTCGGTTGATAACCCCTATAACCCATGTAGTAACCCTAATCATCGTCATTATTCACCCACTTACTAAGTCCCCCTGACCCTAAACCCTAAACCCTAAGCCCTAAACCCTACCTCCAAGTACGGTTTAGGATTCAGGGTAAGGGCCGCATTATGCAGGAGACCTCAGAAAGGACCATGGTTTTGATAACCCTCATTCTATCATGTTCTTGTGGCCATGGAATTATATACTTGGGGCCCAAGTTGGGGACTAGGGTTTAGGCTTTACGGCTAAGGGTTTAGGATTTAGGGTTTATAAGTAATTGCTATCTAGTATGCTAGGCTTCTGAGCCGGACCTCTGGGGCAGGGAGCTCTCTAAGTCTTCGGCTTTCAAGTGTCAGCGCAACACTTTGCATGTATGATCTAGCAAAATGTTATGTTACATCAGCCTTTGTTATATCACATAAGATTTCACTACATATCGCATGAAATACATGCATACATGTAAACCTATGCCTCTTAAAACCAAACGCCAAACTCCAGGTTTATCAACGCTAAACATCCACACTCTGATCCCTACCGCCTACATAAACTTCATGCTTCCACGTTTGGGGTATAGAGTTCAGGGCTCGGGGTTTAGGACCTAAACGCTAAACACTAAATCCT